CAAGAACGTATTTATTCCAAAGTGGCAGAACCATGCCTTTGCAAAAATGTCCTGATACAAAGTATCTTTGTAGAACAATCGGTTGATTGTCAAGCGATATTGCCGCGTAATTAACATTTTTTTTTATAACACGCGCGCGAGCATCGACTCCTAAGTGTACTTGATTAAATCGCGACTTAATGAAAGACTCCGACGAGTTGTGAACCAACGTGATTGAAGATAAAGGGTAAGCCAGAAGAATATTTATAAACGATGTAAGAAATTAAAGTGACGAGATGATTTACTTGAGATTTGCTGCTGGCCGAGAAATTTTATCTTAGAAATTAGAATAATCAATATCTAAACATCCGTCTTACTATAAATTGCATCTATGAAAGATTAAAAATAAAAAATAACATAAGCTAAATAAAAATAATTCATAATAATTATTTTGCGTGCAAAATATATTTTCACAATTAAATCGAAATCTTATAAAATTTAAAATTCCTTTTATCAAAAATTTAAAATTTCCCTTGAAAAATATAACGCTAATTTGCGTAAAATGTAAAGATAAGTAATTATCAATCAATCCGAAAGGATTATCTCGTATAATCTTCGGACGCCTTTTAATTCAATCCGGAGGTAAGGCCGCATCTGTAAAGACACACGTCTTACAGGTCTATACGAGTATGTATCGCTCTCTCGGAGGATTATACGCTCGCGTGACAAGGATCGTATCCATACTTCATACTGCTTGCAGAGCCCGATTCGTGCAACGCATTAGATACACACTTTGATATCAGCCCCGACAGCCAGCCCTCTGCTCCCTTTCTCGCGTCCTTGCCTTCCTTTTTTCGCCCGTGTAATCGCTCACCGACTTCTTTTGCATTCTTCATTGCGTCGATGTGTCGACTCTCGAAAGCGACTCTTCGGAGATGAGGATTACGAACCGACAGCGAGAAGCAACAAAGTACTCTCGCTCGATGTGACGTTGATAAAGTTATGAATAAATTAAAGGGATGTATAATCCTATTTCTTAGCAAAAATCTTTCTCCCCAGACTAATATAATATTGTCGAGAATCGGATCGCGTATTTTTTTATAAACTAATATGTAAGAATATTTTAAGAAACACATTTCTTTTTTAATATTTTCAAATTTTATGTCATCTCACATACGATAAACCCATATCCTTCTTTTCGTTGCCGAAAAGATTCCATTCAACCGTGAAGTAAAGCAAAGTAGCTTACACATTGTACACATCATCGTTTTCAATGTATTAAGGATCCACTCCGATATTATCGCGGTTTCGAGCAATCTTATTGACTCTTTGCGCGCGGCTTGATAATAGCGCATCGAGCAACTCACGATGGCCGAACAATATGAATATCGATGCAATCTGCAAATTTGATTGCGAATCGTGCAAGCAAATCGACAAGTCGTAAGAAAAGAGATCTCTCGCGAGGTGTATGCTGCAACATTTAAAACAGAGTATTTCTTTCTCTCTCTCTGTCTCTTTCTTTCGACCGAGAGCGATCATCGATCGTCGATACAATCAATAAACCTGATTGTGAATCACTTAGCGGCGTTGTTCATCGCGCGGATCCGCTCCGGCCGCAGAGACGAGATCCGAGAGAGAAGGAAGGAGATAGAAGTGCTACGGGAGAGGAATCGGGATAGATATACATATTATATACGTGTGCAGCGAGGGACGGGGGGGGAGAGAGGAGGGGGTAGTGCGGAGGGGTAGGCAGGACCCATTAGGCTAATCCCTCGTCGGCGGCCGAAGCCAAAGGAACGGAATAAGAAGGAATAAGAAAGCCACAGGCTACGTGTCATTCCTGCTTGCCTGCCGACACCTATACCCGACCGACACCTCCGCCATAGTACGAGTATATCCGTTCAGAGGTGCTCCCTATCACGATTGCCCTCGCTTCCTATTCCGCGCGCGCGAATAAACCAAGTCCGTAAGTTATTCCATCGCACGCGGCGTCCCCGACCGTGATAATAATTTTTCTGCCTTATCTGGGTCTCGTGGAAAGCGAGGCAAGGTAAATCGGAAGCGATCCGTTTTAATTTCACCAGCGAAACTTTTACCGAAGTCGCCAATAATTTATGTTTTAGCATCAAAGGTAAAAATGAAACAATAAAATCTTTGATTAAAATATTCTGAATTTTTATTATATTAAGTATAAATTGGAAAAAATGATTCATCATAATTTTTGCTAAAATAAATCTCCTCTTTTCTCATATTTCTGAATATTAAGTCTGTTATAAATTGCTTTAGTTGATGAATTTCCGTGGAAAGTCCACTTTCTGACGGCATTCGCGATATTTTAATAGCGCTCTAAGTGTTTCTTCACGTTTGATAGTAATGGCAGGAAGTCGTAAAAGCCGCGTCCATTTCGGCGTTTATTTATTTTTAACGGCGTTATAAGAGGCGACCGCTTTTGTCTCGAAATTCGCATTAGCGATACGGCGGCGCGGACAAATTACATCGCCGGCGATCTTTAATTCGGTCGATCGACGTTAATCAATTTTATTGACCGCGAAAGCAGTTAATGACGAATAAACGGCGGTGTGAATGGGACCGAATGCGTACCCGCTCGTTAAATAATTATTCATTTTCGTACAAAGATTCAGCAGCGAGCGCGGACGAGATTTCTATCGTCGTAATTTTGGGGGAAAAATTATGAAGCGCGTGCGGCAGTTATACATATCGCGGAGTCGTGCATAATTAACCGTGCCGAAAGAGATACGCATCTGTAATTGACGGTTTCGCGGTTTGCCCGACGCGCGATAACACTTCCTTAAAGGCGCCTTTTCATCAGCGAAATTTGCGCTCGCGAGTCTTAATTATGATTTTTTTCTTTTCGAAATTTATCGAGTGCTCCTGATTATTTATGAGCGAGCGATATTTTCATTGTCGTCCCCTCCCTCCCCCCATTCATGTATTCCGATTGTACTTTAATTTCCTGATTTAGATTGTTCGCAAAATATTCTCAAAATGTTAAATACCACGATTATTCGCGATATAAAGGGAATTTGTTCTCGATTAGATTAATTAAAAGAGGAATACGGAGGGAGCCGGGAATGAGCACCACTGTCGACGTGTGGCAGGCGGTCCGTTTGATCTCCGCGGGACCTTCGTGGGGCCTCTGGGCCTTGAAGCCCGCTCTTGCCTCTTGGCTCTCGACTCTTTCCTCACATTCTCGATGGTCCGCGATCGAAGGATCTTTTCTCGACCCCGGCAGCGTCCTCGCCGGTCTGACTTTTTAAGACTTTGGGACACCTGTACCGCTAATTCCTCCGTGTCTACCTGTATCAATCACTAAAACAGATTCCCGCTTCGCGCTCGTAACAACTGACTGATCGTGTATGCCTACAAATAACCTGGCTTAAAAAATCGAGTTATTTTATCAAAGTGACATGGAGAGATCTGGATCGAGGAAAATCAATGTGACAGGTATATTCGTGTAATCAGAATTATATCTAATATAAAATTCTTCATGGGTTATTACGATTATAATATTCATAAAGAGACAATCTCTCAGTTGTGATATTATTAATATTAAATTTTTTAACTTCACAATTTATATTTTTTTATAATATTCTAAATATTAGTTAATTCTTTTTATTATTCACACAAGACATTAATTATTAATTATACAGAAAAATAAAATTCCTATTATGTATAAAATCTAAGAGGTCTGAAATTACGATAAGAAAATCACATGCCATGAATACAGAAATTACGATAAGAAAATCACATGCCATGAATAGAATTAATTAGAATCCAAAGAATCTATATCTGAAAAAAATTGTACGTGATTTTTTTTATTCAGAAATATTATAGAAGACTACTTCGATATCTTGAAATAATCACGCAAGACGCATCTCTGCGAAACTCAATTATGATATTATTAATATTAAATTTTTTAATTTCATAATTTATATTTTTTTATAATATTTTAAATAATAGTTAATTCTTTATATTATTCACACAAGACGTAATTTAATTGAATTATGCAGAACAAAATAAATTTCCTCTTATGTATAAAATCCAAGGGACCTGAAATTACGATAAGAAAATCACATGCCATGAATACAGAATTAATTAGAATGCAAAGAATCTGTATCTGAAAAAAATTGTACGCCATTTTTTGTGATTTAAGGAAATCCATGAATACAGAAATAATTAATATAGAAAGAATTGATTAGAATCCAAAACATCTATATCTAAAAAAAAAATACATGACTTTTTGTATCCAGAAATATTATGGAAGGCTACTCCGATATCTTGAAATAATCACGTGAGACACATCTCTGCGAAACCATCGTCGGAAATCTCGGAAGGAGGAAGACGACGGGACGGGATGAAAAGGAGCGGGATAAATATCCCGCGTCCTGTAAGATATTGACACTTTTGTAATCCGTTTGTCGGACGTGTGGGCAACCTGGCTAATCCCGCTTACGCCCACCGGAGATTAAATCCTGCCGGTCCCCGATACCGGGGATCGTTCGGACTAACTTTGGTCTCTAACAACGAGAAGGCAAGCGGAGGCGCTTAAGTTAGGACCCCGCGTATATAACGCCCGCGTACGTCAAACGGAGGTCCACAGGCCCGGCGGAGGTTAAAAGCTCTTGATGCCCCTCGAGACGATGGATCGCGCGCGCAATTCTCTCTCTCTCTCTCTCTCTCTCTTTTATCTTTCTCTTACATTATATATTTCTCGATATCGTGCGCGGTGCGCTTTGCCATTGGGCTCTCTGCGAACTTCTTCCTCGCTGCTGACAGCCTAAAAGGGTAATTAACCCTTCGACTGGCCGACTGTGAGAACTTTACGCGGCTTTCGGGCGCTCGCTCGTTTTGTTTTTGCGATAACGATCGAGGGGATATTCAAATCGGATGAGGGCTCTCTCATATATCGATTTAGCGTTCGGAATTTATCCTGCAGAAAGTAATCATATAACGCGTGTTCTTAGCAAGTCTCTGAGGACGTGGGAAAAATTTAGACTTACCGCCGCCTAATATGCCGTTGATGGTGTAATCCTTCTTTCCGTCATCCCCTGGTCGCCCTCCACCTCGAAGAAGTCTGCTGATAGAACTGACACTTGGCGGATCCGAGAAACCCTCCTGTGCAAACCAGATTCATATTAAATTCAACGAACTGCATATAATGTGCCTCTTAAGCCCAAGAAATTAATTTCAACCTCAACACCATTTTAGAAATAGAATTAAAAGAAAATTATTCAATGCATCGGAAGCAAAGATTTTTTTCAAATTCCTTATTCAAGAATGTAATTCTCCTAAGACGCTATATTATAATAAGGGATAATGATAAAAAATTGCTGACCATTGCATTCGCCTCCATCATTTTTTCACCTTTTGTTTCCGTATTAATTCAAGTCACACAGAAATACTCGCAATTTCCCAGATAGTGATTGCTAGGTTTACGCAAAGTTTCGCACATTTCCGTCTCGGTTCGAGGAGCGTTCGCCTCCTCGCTCCTAGATACCAGCGAATACGAATTGATTGATCGTAGAATTACATGTACCATCGATCCGAGTGGCATTTGCAACTGCAGACTACTGCACTGCAATTTGGCGCGATTATTCTCGTGTGTCGACGTATATATTTGCGCCGTCGAGATTCAACGTTATTACATATTATGCGCCGGAACCGTTACACGCGTTCGCCACAACAGGATATTTTTGCGAATCCAGGTTGCTCGGCGTTCGATAACGAAACCTGCAGATAATCGTGAAAATCGAAAGCGATCTTTCAACGACGCCTTCGGATTTTATTGCGCGGTCAAGATAGTTGTAGATGATGTAAACGAACGATGATCCTGGATCCCGGACAAGTGAATAGGTCACTTGAAATATCACATAATAAATAATTTAATTAAATTGCGTTTTTTTATCATAAAATTAATTTGAAAGGGTAAATTCAATTATTTTGGAAAGGGAAATTTTTATTATTAATGAGAGATTTTTTTTCCAAACGTCTCAGTTGCTGCAATTTTTTTTATAATATTTTATTATACACACATGAAAATCTACTTTATAATTATGTGAGTGCGAAATAAATTAATTACGAAATCTAGACAGAAATTAAACGACGAAAATTTGTCACGTTCAAGATACAATAATCTCATGTATCTTGAATAATATGAAGGTTTCGTGAATAGGTGAATGTCTGCGCGATCGTTAATCAGTTTTTCATTATCGCATTCCAAGAGAGAGAAATCATTTCGCGATTCAACGTGGACAATGACCGCAAGTCCGTTATTCTGGTTGTGTAAAAGACGAGTCTTCCTTAATTGCAATGATTTCTTCGGGATTCTTGTAGTACTAGTCACTCGCAAGTAATCATTATGAGAAACGAAAGCTTTGCAACAGATCGCAGATGGTAATCGTTGGACCATTAACCTCTTCGCAATAATTACAGTTTCAACGATTTCAACGAGGTTAATAGTTAGTGATGGATGGTCACCGCAAGATGAGCCATCCTAATACCGCAGGATGCCATACGGGAATGTAATAGCGGTCAAGGACTAAGTAAGTAGCCGATGTCTGTAGTATATGATTTATGTTTTCCATGACTGTCATTATAAATAAAAACATTTGTTTACATAAATCATTTATTATTATCTTTTTATTTTGAAAAAGCAAGTTCAACTCGCGTTTCTTTAAGATTTAAAATGTCTCAAAGTTCCATTTATACGTCAATCTTTAAGGATGTTTTATATATACAATCCCAGCAAAAAGTAGCTGAAAAGCAATATTGTCGAATATATCCACTTTTAGTGTATTTTGAGTAAGAAATTGTGTGGAATATTAATTGATCTTGATCAATTTGATCTTAGCTACAGTGCAGAGATGTATTTTTTAGATTTGTTGCGTTTTTATTGAAATATTCCGAATTTTGTTAATCAAAATGATTAACTTAACAGAGAATTTCGCCTTGTGACAGATACATGGCTAACTTCATTAAATTATATTTAATATCTTTTTAATCAGTTAGTACTTGTATAATATTATTTGACCAAATATTTCCTCTGTATCTAAACTTTTGCAAATTTTAAACAAATTCTGAATATTATTTCCATGTGTTTTTGTCATTTGAATCGACGTGGTTATACGTTTTCCATAAGAACATATGTTAATTCGGTGCAAATTAAAATCCTTATAATTTGTGAATCGATTTAAAAACTGTACTGAAGATTCTAAACATATGTAAGGACATTCTGTACAATTTTCATTAAATTCTCAATATTTTGAAAATAGATACAAAATATTCTTAAACTACATACAGAAACAAAGCGAGAACTTCCTGGTTTTATGTTAAAAATTAAAAAAAAATTGAAAAATTACAGTTTTTTATCGGCTTCTGAGATTAAATCGTAACAATACTTGTTTTATTTGATTTATTTACCGACATCTTTTTCATTAGGCTTCTAACTCATTTCTAAAAGTTCATTTACATTCCTTGATACAATCTTTAGCGGGAACCGATCTTTGTGCATGCAAATTGCAAAACTTTATATTAAGCAAATATTGTTATGACCTTTTTAGGATTTTTCAATTTTTTTCAATTTTTAATATAAAATCAGAAGGTTCCCGCTTTGTTTCTGTATGTACTTTAATCGTGGAGGAGCATTTATTATTTTGTCCAACTAATAAAAAGATTTCGGACAAAAATGAAATATAACATTTTATTAAATTTGATTAAATTTATTAAATTCTCAATATTTTGAAAATAGATACAAAACGTCCATAATAATAGGCTCATAATAATTGCGATATCGTGATCTAGATCAAGAATACCTGAATCGAGTTCATTTAACTAATACAACAGATTGAACGAGATATATACGATTAGATCATAAGTTCGTTCTAGTGTTTCAGGATTTCTCCGCATATCTCGCAATTTCGTATCAGGTATCAAGAAAGTTTCGCCATTCGTCGCCGCGCCTACCAGCATCATCTGGCAAAGCCGCGAAAATCTCCGCACGTACGCACGCGTTGATATCGATCAGTTATCAGCGGCGACGATCGAGTGCGTGGCAAACGGGCGATTCGCTAAAGAGAACGAGATAAATAAAGAAAGCGGGAGATGTAAGGATCGAGTGAGCATTATCCCGCGAGCCAAGGTGAAAGAACTGCCTTTTGCCTTTGCCGAAGATTTAAAAGGAGGAAGAGCGGAGCCCGAGCGTGACAGAGAGCGGCGGCTCTGGGGTGAGGGAGAGGGAACGAGGCAGGGTGATGGAGAAAAAAAGAAAAAGGGAAAAGGGGGTCGTCGGTGTCGATCGCTATCTGCCGGATCGCCGATCTCAGAAACAATAACGATCCTTCTGTCGGTGGTGGCCGAGGCGTCGGGTCCGGGGCGATGACAGGAAAGAGAGAGACGGACGCGGACCCGACGAGGCGACTCCACCGCGGGAGCGACGAGGAGAGATACCCCTTGCGGGCCTCGGGGTCCAGGAACGCCTCCTTCCAACATTAAATGCCGTATTAATGCCGTCCACGACCGGCCTGCCTCCACAACTGCAGCGGCGTACGTGTTCTCGAAACCGTTTCTCGTCCTTCTCCACTCTTCTCATCCTCCCGTCTCGCTTCAGAAGTCGCCCACTCTCTCTTCCTCTTCGAGGGTGTTTTCGGCGCATCTCCTTCGCTCCTACTTTCTTTTGCCCTCTCTCGCTCGCTTGTCCACGATCTCCAGCTCTATCTTTTCCTAATTTCTCTCTCTTTTGTATTTCGAATGCTTCCTTTTCGTCCTCTTTTGCGAAACGTTTTTTCTTCCACGCTCTGGCGATTTTTTTACTCGAGTCTCGCCTTCTTCCGCGCTCACTTTCGTCCTCTCCCTTTCGGCGTCTCGCTGGTTCTTTTAATCTCTCCCGCTTGTATTTTTGCACGCACTCGTTCTCCTCGATTGATACGTTTTCTCCTTATTGTCGCTCTCGCGGCCGATGCGCGTGATGTTTCCTTCGAGCAAGATTTATCTCTTTATCGAAGAGATCGCCCCCCGGCAAGGGAGGCGTTCCAGCATCGAGGGAAGGCAAAACTCCCTCCGTCCGGAATTTCGCACGGTTTCGATTTGAGAACCGCCGTCGATCTTATCGCGGAGAGACACGTAGAGATATTCCAGATACCCCGATATATCCGATACTTAACTCGACTTTTGTTACCTTGAGAGAGACGAGTGCTACCGCGATGATTAACGCAAATAAAAACAATCCGAGCTTGGATGTGAATTAATCACATTTCGCGTGTCTTGAAAAAGTACATCGAGATTTCGGAGAACACTCGAAAAGATTATCTCGGTCTAATTTAATTTACTAGGGGGGCCTCGATAACATAAATTTCTCCTTTTTGTATTTTTCTTACATCTATTATAATTCACCAACACCTAAGACTCGTAATTAAATATTTCGTTAAACTTTGCGCCGACGTCACCTGGGTAATTAATCTTGGCTCTTTGCGGTAATATCTCGCATGATGATGTTTTTTTTATCGTAAAAAGACATCTCGGGGGATCTCGTCGGGATTGGAGGTAATGCGGAAGAAATTATTCACGGAAGAAAAGTTTATTCGCGCGCGCGCGCGTGTGTGTGTGTGTGTGTGTGCATATATTCGAAAATCGAGATGCTACGGAGGTGTTACGCCAATGAGGCGTGGGTGTAGACGGCGGTCAGTAACGTATTAAAGGACACGCGAGTTGCCTCGGGCCGCTCACGTACCCCGCCGTTCGCCTCGTGCACGCCTCGTGCACAAGATTAAAAAGCCTCATTGAGTATGATTCCCGAGAGAGATAGAGAGTAACCGCGGAGAAAACATCCGTGTTCGATTGAAGGATCGGGCAATGGCTCGCGGGATTTTCGCGGATGGAAAAATGCCCGCATGATCGGAATAATGAATCGCAGTTTCAAAGATGCAATTCGAAAAATCCTTGTTTAAAGGAAAAATAATTAACAAAGTAGCAAGTGTCAAAAATATTTTTTACACGTGTACTTTGTGGTAATGAATTTTAATTATAATTATTTTGATATCATTAAAATTATATTTATTTTTAAATTACACTCTGTCTGATTTTCTTTATTATATTTTTTTAATTATATCCAAAGCGTTCTTAATTTATATTGAAAATTTCATCTTTTTCACATCTTCTTCACATGTAACTTACACTTATGGTTATATCAAATCATGTGAAAATTATTATCAACACATTATTGCATTTTTACGTTGTTTTATTAATTCAAGAGAACGCATTATTTTTTTGAACAATTAAAAGGTATAATATTCAATAATTTTTAAAAGGTATAATATTCAATAATTTTTTTACCTTCATAAGTTTGTCTCTTATTTCCCAGGAGAATATTCCTGGATTGTCTCTCTTCAATTCCTCGATCCTCGCCTCGACTTCCGGTGTGGCCACTCGCGGTTTGCTACCACCGATCACTCCCGGACGAATGGATCCAGTTTCTTGATACCGATTCAGGATCTTGGAGACACAACCGTGTGAGACGCGGAGTTGTCTGGAGATGACGCAAGGACGAACTCCAGCGGCGGCCATTTCTACGATTTTTAGGCGGATATGATTTGGGAGAGGTCGCCCGTTGATGAAGACCCCTCCCAGCTGATTCATTCGACCTTGTCCTGTAAGAAATAATCAAAACATTAATAACAATTTAATAATCATTTAGAATCATGATTATTATTATTAATAGCAAAATATAAAAGCGAACAGCTTAAATTAATTTAGGATACATCCCGCAATCTGGGATATCAAAATACATACTTTTATCATTTTATTTAGGAATCGCACAAAATTAAGGCCATTTTTAAAACGTCGATCGTTGAAAAAAATCATATCCAAATTTCTGCAAATATTAAAGGATAACAGATGTTTACTTCCTTCGGTAAAAATCGCGAAATTTTCTCCAAATAATCCAAACCCATTCCTGTTGGAAAAACGCGAAGGGGAAGGTGGCGAACGAGCGGGGGAGGGAAAGAGCGGCCTCGCGAAAGGTCTTGTAAGCGCAATTGGCGTGATTGAGCTTGAAATTAGCGGCGGAATCGGACTGGGGCGCAAACATGAAATCAGATAACAGGACGGAGCGCGCGCAAGGAGAGGATACCAAAAACACGGCTAACAGCCGTAAAATTGAAGAAGTTATGCGCGCGAGGAGGCGTGCACCAGGCAGGCACCGTTTCCAGCACTAACGAGTATAGAGTCGGATCGTTAGTCGAATTAGCCACCCTTCCGTACGTGACATTAGCTCCCGTATCATCAGGCCCCGGGTAAATCGCGCACGCGGTGCTGCACGCGTAATTACTATGTTTACGCATTAAGGACGCTCCGAGTGCACACAACGGAGACGGGCAATTATAATAATCGCTGCGACGGAATGTCTCATCGTCGTCGAGTAATTTCCTTCCATCGGGACCCCTTTCGAGAGTCCCCGAGCTTAATTTTTGACCGTTTGTCTCGGGACACCCATTTCACCCGACTTTCGCAGACTCGTGCGTTTCTCCTGCGTGAAATGCGTCCCAGAAATGTGTCTCACTCTTAATGGAAAGTTTTTTTCTTAATCTAATAAACGTACGCACGTGACTAGAAGAATACGTGACAAGGAGATCATTTGAAGAACTTGAGGATTAACTGAGCGTCTTTTTTATATACTTGTGTTAAATTATATCTATTCATATCAATAATCCTGTAATGTATATTGTAATTTTCGACACGCATTTTCCTCGGCTAATTTTTCCAATTTTTGCAAATTAACCGCCTGGCGTAATCCCCTTTCATTTGTCGAATTATAATTGATTAGCATAGATCTCAAACAGTGTTATTAATCACAGAGTACTTTATATACGTTCTATTGAGTTTTAATGAACTGGTTGATTATCTATTTAGCGAGTATATTGTGTCTCACGCACATACGCACACGCGCGATTCACGTTCTACACATGAAAACATTATTATATCATGCCTATTGATAAATATCCATATCCAATACAGAGCACGATAAGATCAAATGTAGATTTGTCTTGCTCAACTTCGAAGGGATCTCGTATTAAAGATGAATATCAATTAAAACGTAGCGAAGGGGAATGTTTAATATGCGGCCAGGCGCAGAACAAACGCGCGTTACCATTTAATTTATGACGGGGTCGTTCGCTTTGGACAGGATTGATTTATCAAAATCACACGGCGGTGCAGTCGATCGAATATGTGTTAATGGCGATCGTGACTGAATTTAATTATCGTTTTAATAACCGAGTACGATGACGATTAAACGATCACATTGTTACCGACCTCAGCGTTGCGTAAATTATTTAATCGCACTAATGGGATTTTCAAATGCGACGATTAACGTCAATGTAATTCGCCGCAAGTGCACCCTTTTATGCTGAGTATTATCGCGCGCACGTCGTCGCAGATAAGATCTGAGAATCGCTATTAAGAAATGCAAATCGCAAAACTATTTCCATTAGAATATTTATGCATTATAATCACCTGGAATTGTATTTGAGCAGCGTAATTGTAATTTGCCGTAGTGTGTTTAATTAATTTAGTTAAAAAATTGATAAGTTTATGCACGTAATAAAATATTCCTACCTTAACCTTTTCAAAACATTCTCTTTGTTTTCTAAGTCTGTCAAAGCAATAAGAGATTTAAAGATTTTTATCATTCTTCATCTTATACCCGCAATAAAGAACATCTTTTTATAAATTTTAATTAGAAATTTTTGCAAAATATTGATTTGTAAAATATCTCTCTTCAATTTTTTGAGAAAATTTTACAGAAACGCAGAAGGACATGAAATGTGTGTGATATTATGATGACTATGTTGAACTGTCATTCTACTAATCTAGCTCGATGATTGTTCATTCAGAGATCATATGCGTGCAAATTTTAACCGAGACACGAACCAACCTTGGAACGGATATCCACCGAAGATGGGCCTCATTCCGCTGGTAACATCCATACCGCCGGTCGCGGGTCTCGTTGCGTTATTCGACACTGACACACACTGACCGGAAACTTCACTCTTGCCACTTTTGCGTAGAGAAGCGCGCGTCCTTTGCACTCGCCACTCGCCTCAAGAGAAAAAGACTCTTTGTCTAGCATCCAGATTCGGAGACAGCGCGTAGACCCAGGTAGAGTGGTTCCAGGTAGACGTGGAGACCGAGTAGGATCACACAAAAAGGACAAAGGGAGAAAAGAGAGAAAAAACAAAGAGACAGGGAGAGAAAGAGAAGAAGGAGGCTACGAGACGAAAGAAAGAAATAAAACGCGATCTTACAGGGGGTGTCCACTCGAAGACGGGGGCGACGTCGCGATCGCACACGTTCCTGAATCGGGAAACAAGAAAACGAATCGGCAAGCACGCGTTGCTTTCGTTGCGAGGGGTACTGCGGCAATAACGTGTCAGCTGTGGGGTACCGGGTGTCTCGTGTGTCTCTCCCTCGAGAGAGAGCACCGAGGGGGGCTCTCTCCCGGATGACGAAGCGGAGGGTAGAAGGGGACCCTCTCGCTGGTCTCTTGCTGGGACTCATGATACCAACGAGGTCCCACTGTTGGATACGCCCTGCCACTTGGTTGGCAAACGAATACCTCACAATGGGCGGCTCTGCCCATGAGGCCGCCCATGGAACGTGTTTCCGTGTATATCGTTTCAGAGGATTGCATCGCGTGTATCGCCACTCCACTGATACTACCAACGATGGTAGTACGATCAGCCAAGTGATTGCTGATCGTAAAGTCGATTTTGGACGAAACGCGTCACCTTTGGTACGAGTTTAAATCCTAAGTGGAGTAATATGAATATTCTCTCATTTTAGTGAAAAATAATACTTGCAATATCTTTGAGATAGTGGACCAAATAATGGAATAAATGCTCCTATCTTAAAAAAAATGCAATTTTTCTTTTTAATTATTATTGCATTATTTAATATGTCTTTTGCATTTCTTTATTTTCTCCCACAATTTGTGTCTTGATATGTTTCTTTAATATCTTTAATAATTTATAAATATATTCAATTTTTGAATTATATAAACTTTAATATAAAAATTAAATAATGCAAAATCTAATAATGCAGACATTAAAGATGCATTCCGGTTGTTATGGGACATTACGAGCGCTCATTATCTCTCATAACAACCTGGATGCACCCTTCAAGAGGAATGAATTATGGCAAGACAAAACGGAAAGCAATAAATGGATACAACATTATCAGCAAGACGTAAGGAGTATTACTTGACAATTGCGCTTGAACTATACGAGATTTTTTTTGGCTTACCAATAGTCTGTCACAAATTAACTTGCGGCGACGTGTTTCCTATTGCATCTTGAAATATTAGACAGAGTACTTACGGCCGAGTAACTTCGAGAATAAAATTGTAATGAACGTATAATGGCTCTTTGAATAAATTTTCCCTAGAACAGATTCCATAAAAACATGTGTCCCTATACTTCTGTAAATCTTTACGGTAGCGAAATCCCGGTAAATCGAAGCTTGTGAGAGCCACGGGGGTCCTGTGAAACTCACCGGAACAAGCGCTTCCTCCTGTGAGGGATTCTCTTGAGATATTTTTTTTTCTCTGCAAAGAACAAGAAGTCACGAAAAAAAAGAACCCACTGTATACGGTTGCAAATATTGTACGCCACGTTTCGTCGGTCGAAGAACCGACCGAAGATTTACGATTGATCTTGCCGATGCAATTTAGAAAAATCATTTTAAAAAACCTGCGATTTCGAGAAGTCAGTTTCCACATGCGATTAATAAAGATTATGAAAGAATATCGTTATCATAATTTCGTTATCATAATTTTTGCAAATTTGCAAATAAATTTTTTTAGTGGAAATTTAATTGAACGCGCTACATTGTTACATTACACAAATTTGCAACATTTATAATATAATATAATATGTAGAATATATTAAAAAATATATAAAAGATTTCAAGGTAAAAAAATCTGTTTGTCTATAAATAAATATTTTGTAATTAATTGTAGTAAATAATTGTTTTCCTGAAAATTAATCTGTTACAAAAATATTTTTTTCTATAATTCTTGACATAATATTTTATATAGTAATGACATTATAAATTTCTATAGCGTTAATTATTATTACGTTATAAATTTTTATAAAATTAAAAGTTGTAATAAGTGTGTTTACATTTGTAACAGCAATATATGTATACATTTTTTAAAAGAAATAATTATATTTAAAACATTAGAAATTATTGCCATTATACGCTCTACATCCATTTTAATTTAATAAGATTTTTGTAAATAAAAGAAAATTTATCGGTTTTCAGAAAGATTTATGTCGATACAATTTCAATTCACAACAGAAAGTTAAAACAGTTTTGCTTTTATCGTAATCCACCGTTTCATCCATCAATTTACCTTGCAGTTAACAAGGATTTTGACAAACATCCGGTTGCGCTGGACCAACAGGATCCCTGAAAAATGCGTCTGCATGATAATTAGCGGCAAAAAAGAGCGTGACATCACGAAGAAAGAAGTGTTGCAAGGTCGGGTTCGTTTCGTGCGTTTTCCGGATGAGCGTAGACAATCCCGGTCTCAATATTTCTGTGCCGGCATTTTTCCTGCTTAGTCTAGAATTTGGAAAATCGTGCGTGAAGCGCAGTCGAGTGTCGATGGGCTCTAGATCACCGGTGATTCCCACGGGAAAAGGTTCCGGCTCGATTGGTCCTCGCGAGAAGGACGAGTTGCACGGACGGAAAGGATCGTGGATGAAAAAGCAGGAAGGAGGGGGTGGCAACGCTATAATCCGGAAGAAATTGATTAGCCGACTTCGACGTCTCATGAGGATGAAAATCGGTCGGATTTAGCCTTTTGTCGAAAGGCGAATGGTATCTTCTCGCAATCGATGTCTCTAAAATTGAATTTGTCGCTGTAACAGAAGGACGCTCGTTTTTCATCCCTTTTCTACAGCTGATCGGTAGGATGATCTCAGATACGTTTCGGTCATTTCACGGGAAGCGTTAAAATGTTTTAAGCTCTTCATTGTCGTATCTGAGCTCGTAGAAATCGAGTTTCGCACACGTAAAGGTATATATGTGTATTTGTTTATTTTTTATATTTTAATATTACACTGTTTACTTTTTATATTTTAATAGTAATCTTCAGTTTTGAATTTGTTAGACATTATACACATATATATCCGCAATGGATGGTCAGTAAACCGTGCGTTTTTCATAAACGTACATAAGTTTGACCAAGAGTTATTATATACAACAGATGCTGCGTTGAAATTTTTATCCTCTACGCTGTAATTTGTTTTTGCGCTCCACTCTCGCGGGAGAGAAAGCGCGAGTTACCCGCGGATAAGGAATGTTCTGCGAATGTGTGGTGGCTGTTGAAACCGATCGTGCGGTTAAATCGCCTGGCAGTTAAACCGTGAAATAAAACGATTCCGCTTCCGCGCGATTAGACATCGTCGCGAAACACCTGTATATTGCTGCGTAATCGCAAAGCACGTAAGCCGATACTTGTTCGAGAGCCAGCCGAGGGAAAGGCGCTCGAGGCCCGACCGAAATAACAAAGGGGGAAAAAAGAAAAATAAAAAAAAAATACCGAGAGAAAAGGGAAGACAGGAAGATGAAGAGGAAGCGGCCAGCGGGAGAGAGAAGAGGTCGGAGCGTTTTAGGAGCACCTCGCGGCGTTGGTCCCGCTGCAGTTCTCCATTTCCGAGGGCAGTGCCCACTAAACAGCCGTATTAAAAATTCTAATGGGACGAGGGAGGGCGAGGGGGGCCACTGCGCGTCGCGTACCCGTGGTCTTTCTCACCTGGTTTAACATAACAACGGGCCGCAGTCTGGCGGTGGAAAAGTCCGGAGAAATTCGTTCATCTCGTCCCCACACGTCCAATATCTTGCGTGTGCACGCACGTGTGCGTATGTGTTGGTAATCGGTGCGGGCCGCGCCGCAGGCGTCTTTGACAACGAGACTGATGTCGGCGTATCACTCATCAAGATTTATCGGGACTTAGACTAATTGCCGCTTTTAATAGAAATTCGTGCGCTCCGGGATCGACGGAAAAGGGGGGCCCCATCAAAGGAACGCCCGAAATTGTTTTGCATTCTACGCTCGAATTCGTGGGTGGACGATCGACGACCTCGAGTCATTTCTTTCCGGTAATTGAATTGGAATCTTATTAGGCGCTTGAAGCTTCTACGAGAGCTGTCGGCGCGGACGGTAAAAATAAATGTTCATCCCCTGAATAATTCATTTCAATTCATTTCATCGAGTTTATACGAAAGATTGCGACGTAACATATTTTTATATTAATATTTAAGCTTTAACTTTTCCTATGTATTTCTTTATCATATTTATTTGAAGTTTTCTAATACATTCGAAGTTTTTTATTTTTTATGTATTTGCTATTTTTTTTTGCTTATATATTCTACATCATTTTCTTTTGTCGTTTTATTTAAAGCAATTTTGAGAATAGACATAGAGAGAGAAAACTCGCGCAGGTTCGAAAGATGTGGCACGGTGTAAATAAATTATCCTTCTCGCGCACACTATGGCTAGAAGAAAAACGTTTTAATTATGCACATTGTGTGTTAACATCGGGGAAAGTGCGAGTCTCTCTTCCATGAGGGGGAGGAGGGGATTATCGGCTGAATAGACGTCCACGAAAACTGTGGTTTCAGTCCGGACCTCGTGTCTTTCTTCAACCGCGACCCAACCTCGTTAGACTACCAAATGCCCCAAATATCTTTCTGATCACCTTATTGAACGGATGAATGCGTGCTTTGCATAACTTTAGAACTGGGCCATTGCCGTCAAACGACCACCCGGTATTTAACGCCGTCGAAGAAAGAGGTGCCTTTTTAAATGCCTTACGCGAGCGGCCAGAATTTATGCAGAATCCACTGTTTGCCGTGGTTGACGTATTATCTCTACGACGGGGTAAATTATTGGTGAGGGTCCGCACGGTTTCTTCGACACGTCCAAGGGCGCGCAACCACGAGCTTCGATATGCTCGACAAACGTTTGATAGGAGAATCGTTCGTTAAGTCGATGAAATTATTTCGAAGAGATAATTTCAATTTTTTTAGACAATCTTAGACGCGGATAATTTTTGAAAGTATTTTTTTTGATTACTCGATCATTTATATGAAATATAAAATACATCTTTTAATTACACAGACCTGCGAGTTTTTTTTTAAAGATACAATAGTGATTTTCGACGTAATTTTGTGTGCTAAATCCGAATCTGGCCGCCGAATTTCCGTAGCATGTCACGTTTTTGAGTAATTTGTAATTGAATGGCTCAAAAATTGCTATTTTGACCAAT